CCCAGTTACTGTTGTTAAGCGAATCACCACAGGTCATTAAGCAAGGATCGCATGTGACCACGACCACGACTTCTGACTTCCTGCTGGCTTCCCCATTGACTTTGCTTGTGGGAAGCTGGCAGGGAAGGTTGTAAATTGCGATCATGTGACCGCAGGATATTGCAGAGGTCAGAAATCTGGGCCAGTTGCTGAGCGCCAGGATTGCAATCACATGACCACAGGGGTGCTGCATCAACCAGAACTTTGAGGACCGGTTGTAAGTACCACTTGTTCAGCAGCATTGCAAGTTCGAATGGTCACTGAACGAGTGGTTGTTAACCAAGGACCACCTGTACTAAGAAATAGCTATTTGGAGCCAAGTAGTGAAAATTAGACCTGTGCATGACTTCATCAGTGATTTATCAAAGATACTGATATACTCCAAAAGTGAGCTTCTCTGTTATATCAACTGTTCCCAATAACTTAGCAACCAGGGTCATCCACCCAGGTGGTCAAAAAAGTCAAGATGGCAGACATGAATGCACAATTGAAGCCCTGCCCACTTCTTAATGTGTGTCATGACTTTGATTATACAGTCATGGCCACCATTTTGATTTTTTTTTTTACCCCCTAGTTGCTACTTCTGGCTACCAAGGGGTTTTTAATTTCTTAGTTTCCCAGATTAAACTGAACAGTTGCAGAACAGCTGGGGTAACAGCAGGTTTCTTCTGCCTCCAAATAGCTTTATTTTGGTGAACAGTTCATTCTGAGTCACTATGTGAAATGAGCGGCTATACAAATATGATCAATCAGTCAATCAATTCCTCAAGAACAGATTACTGTATTCAAGGGGGATCCAGGAACAACCAAATGTATATAGTTTAAGGGTTATCAGAGTTGAAGATCAATGCATTTGGAAGGCAGCAGAGTTGAGGAAGGCTGGTCTACAACTTGGCTCAGTCCTCGTGACTACAACTATCTCAAATAATGGGCTCAAGTAATTCTGTTTTCCTGGACTTGCCAACAGATTAGGATAGAAGAAACAGTTGACATTCAATCAACTTAACTACCAGTCTTAACCCCTGCTGAGATCCATCACATTTTCCTATTCCCCTGCTATGTACTTGTCCTTCAAGCCTCGGAGCCAGGCTGTCTTGTAACTGAGAACTCCCTGCAAGTTCCCCAGGGGGTAAAGTCCTCTTGAAGTTTGAACTTAAAAATCAAAATGCTATCCCATCACAAGAGTCAAGAGAACCTACCAAGCTGGCTGTGGTGGAGGAGCCATTAATGGTTGCTAAATTGAGTTTCTCCTTCTTCTTGCGTTTCTTCCTGCAGCAGCAGCACTTGATGATACATATAAGGAAAAGTAGCAGGACTAGGCCCGCTGCCACAGCAATTGCTATGAGAGCCCATCTGGGTACTGTTCCAGCAGCAGGAGGCAAGAAAGAGGAAAGAAATCATATAATGGAAATCAGGAAATCCTTTCTGGCCAGTGATAAAGTCTTGGAGATTCTAGTATGACTTCCAAATGGAGGCAATTCATAATAATTATCTACAAAACAGGGAAGCTGCTATGTCAAGGGTTAAGAATTTACAATAGATCACACACAAACTGGCACCCTCTAAAGAGGTTAGACTACCCTTTCCATTATCCTCAGCCAGGATGCCTATTGACTGTCATGGTTCACCATGACAGGAATTAGACTCTAGCACATCTGGAAAGACACAAACAGTGGAAATTATATTTTAACTGTTATAATCACTATGCCAAGATGGTATAGTAAATTATTGGGTCAGTTCCCTTCATTTTCTTAAAAGAAAGCTTTTGTGTGTATGTGTATCTTGGCAAACTAAGCAATGCTCTGGACATCTTATCCTGGTGTCTGGAGGCTGTGAGAGTCTGGATGGGGAACAGCAGGCTTTAACTGAACCCTGGCAAGACTGAGTGGCTCTGGGTTTTGGGGCCTTCTGGTTCTAGGACTATGCCATCTTTCGTGCTGGATAGGGTTGCATTGCCACAAACAGACCCTGTGAGCAATCTGGGGGTCCTCTTGGACTCATGACCCCTGCTCAATGAGCAGGTGGCAGTTGTGGCTAGGAGGGCCTTTGCACAACCTTGTATTGTACACTAGTTGTGCCCATTCCTGGATCGAGGGGCCTTATTCACGGTCACTCATGCCCTGGTCACCTCCCAGTTGGACTACTGTAATGCGCTGTACATGGGGCTGCCCTTGAAGAGTATCCAGAAACTTCAGCTGGTGCAGAATGCAGCAGCACAAGCAGTTATGTGCATTTCTAATAGAACACATGTTACACCTCTGCTTCGCAAGCCACATTGGTTACCAGTTTGTTTCTGGGTCCAATTCAAGGTGCTGGTGTTGACCTTTAAAGCCCTACATGGCATGGGACCAGGTTATTTGAGGGACTGCCTCTCCCTAATTGCATCTGCCCGTCCCACCAGATCCAGCAGAGAGGGCATGTTACAGGTTCTGTTGCCTAGGGAGCTACATTTGGCAGGCCCTAGGCAGCAGGCCTTTTATGCTGTGGCACCCATATTGTGGAATATTCTCCCCCCTGACTGGCTCTCTCACTTTTGATCTTCCGAAGGACCTGGTTGTGCCATCAGGCCTGGGGAGCCCAGGGGACCAGTGAAGTAGTGAGGTGGCTCTGTTATTACTAACATCACTTTTCCTATTATTTCTTTTGTTCTAGTTTTGTTTTTACAGTTTTAATGTTTTTTAATAATAATATGATGACTGTTTTTAGGTATTTATTAATTGTTTTAGTCTTGTTGTACGCTGCCCAGAGTCACTTGTTATGTGAGATGGGCAGCTATATAAATTGGCCAAATAAATAAATGAATAAATTGTTCCTTCATCTTATCTTGCCGAAGTCAATTAGCAAAAAGTTGAAAAGGAAATGCATAAACACGTTGGTAGTAATAGCTTATTGATGCATGACATCTATTTGGTAGGGGTAACCTTTCCTCATTGCATGCATTATTCTTAATACCTCTGAAGAATGAAGAAAAAGGGCAGAATTCTGTTGACAGAAAAGAATAAACAAGGAGGATCACAGAAGTCAAAGAATGTGCTGAATGTGCTTGGACACATTGACCCACGATGGACTGATATGGTGGAACTGCACTGAATGTTCTTACTTTCATATACATTAATGAAGCATTTTTGTCCTTTAGCACCTAAAAAGGGAGGAAACAAATGCTTTCTCTCACTTACTGTGTCAAAAAAAAGAGGCCTGGCAGGCTGTCCCAGCAATCCTATTGTTTCAGAATGGAGAATTTGACTTCAATCCAGGAGTACTTTTGAAGACTGCTTTTATAACCTTGGCAAAGTTGCCAGGCATTATATGTTGCCATGAGAATTAAATGGCTATTTCTCCTTGATAAGAATGGAATAATTGTCTAGAATAAACAATTTTGTAGAATATTGGGAAAGTACAAAGAAGACTTCTATTCTCTTGCTAAAAGTGATCTGATCAATGTGGGTTTCCAAATGAGGTTTTCTTTATCAAACTTATGACTGCCTATTTTCATACATCATATCAAGTTGTAGTTTGATTAACCATGGCTTGTGTTACATTGAATGAACCACATCTGACTGGGTGCACCCAGCACCCTAAACCACAAATAAGCATAACTCTATTATGGCTTAATGTAAAGTGTGGACAACCATCTTTTTCCTCTCTACACAAATCTCAAGTACTTACTATCAAATATAGATCTGATGTAGGAGCAGTGGCCTTCCAGGTTTACTAGAGTTGTTTAGCAGTGTCTACATCACCAGCTATGCTCTACTTTTGTATTTACAAACAAATGTGAAAATTTAAAATTGAGGGTGCCTTTTTCTCTAACCCTAGAAGAAGCTGGAAAGGCCCACAGGGACAATAGCTGCAGACATCTCAGTTGCAAAGCATAAATGCTTTGAAGGATAAACGTAAAAATTAGCTGCTGTTTTAGAGGGGAGTACTGGTGAATTTTACCATTGTTTGTAACACCTAAACTAAGTTCTCCCTCCTTTTTTTTTTCCTCCCCATTCAGTTCCCTTCCTCTCGTTTCCATCCAGTTTTTCCACCCCTTCTTTCCCATCCCAGGGCAGCTATACTTTCCCTTTAACCTAGCCCCCTCCTTCCTCCCCCCTTCTGCTTTGTGGCTGTTTCTGCTGGAAAGAAGGAAGGGAATACCTGCATGTCCTTGTATGTCTGAGCAGCTTGTATACATGAGAAAGAATGTCTGGTATGTCCAGCTCTGGGAGGAAGGATTAATTTTATAAATGGAGTATGTATATTTTAGGCAATTTTAATCAATTTGACGGGGGGGATGTTATTTCTGGCCTTTCTTTTTCTGGAATGTGGTTTTTAGTGGATATATATATATACACAGAGATACATATTCTGCACCTATTTATTGGCTGTGGTGCCGGTAGTAGGGAAATTTCTAGGATTAGTTTCAAGCAATGGTGGCAGCTGTGAAGTCAACAAGGTAAAGAAGCTAGGCATGTAGTTATACTTAACATTATACATACACACACTGTTTCTTGGGGATCTTAAATTCATGGTCATCTTTCTTTTGAGTAAATATATTAACAATAAGTCTCCAATGACTTTTTGCAAAAGAAATCCAACTTGGGTATGAAGTGGCCCCTGGAGATTCTCAGCTGAGCTAAGCATAATAAGTTCATTGAATGAATGGGTTCATTCCCTCAACCCTTGAATTGACTCACATGGAATTTTGTTGATAAGGCTTTCAATGAAGTTGGGTTGGGCAGTGGTTAGCACAGTGCTTGTTGTAATGTTACTGGAGCTAATGGGAGCAGCAGTGATGCCAGATGATGCGCTGGTAGCCATGGCCCAGGAAAGGTGAGCTGGAAAAAGAAATAACAGAATTATTTACAAGAGGCTGATGATGTTCCAACATCACTAAATAGATGACCATCACCTTTCATACCAATTGAATTTAAATCACATCTCAGTATCTATTTTCTGCATTAGGACTAGCCTCTCAAACTCTAAACTAATAAGAGGCAGTGGCTCCTCTGAGCATCCAGAATACAATTCATGATATTATTAGGATCATCCCTTGACAGAAGAATGCTGTCTTCTGTTGAGGCACTTCTCTAACCAAACATATGCATTTCTCTCAACTGACAGCCCTTCTAGCCCAGCATTGGCTTCGCTGTCAGTCAGCCTCTCTTCAAGTCTTTAAATGGGAGATTTTTCAGCCCTAGCTGGGAATGCCAGGACTGAATTGGGATCCCTTGCATGCAGAACAGGTGTTCTACCATTGAAAAGGGAGTGCTCCCAAATCTGGAAAAGCACTTATGTATGTATATGCATGTGTGCAGAGCTGAATACTTTTCTAATAAATGCTTATTCTTGTGAAATTGGCTGAACCAAATGCACAAGGAATGGTAAAATTTGTGGGTTTTGCCTCAAAGATCCAACGTGCCTCCTTCTGGCAGTGCTCCTACTGTCAAGGTTAACACTTTTGGAATCAAAAATTGCAGACATGAAGATTAAACTCTCCCTGGGAATCCAAGGGCCACACAAGATCAGGGTGGTAGATGCATCACTGATTTACCTTGGCTCCTATCCAGCATCCACTTGTGCTGAGTATTAACATGCCTGCATTTAAGCAAGCAACAGCGCTGGAAATGGCAAGTCTTCCTTCCCTGGCTACATAAGAATGATTTTTATCAGAGCATTCCTTAACAAGAAAGCCCAGCTTTCTTTCCAGGAGATAAAGTTGTAAAATATTTATTAAAACAGATTGTGAGTACTGCATAAACATCCTTCACTAATTAATACCATTAACTCTTTGAGTTATTTTAATTGCTACACTATATTGAATAGAAGACGCAAAGAGTCAGGTCCCTCTCCTCTGAGCCCCACCCACAATGCCAGAAGGCCTTCTTCTGTAGGCCCAGGGATCCTGTACTTCATGGGTGACCATGGAAGATGGCCTAGAAATTGCAGTTAGCCAAGAACATGGCAGCTCTAGCATGTATCTGTTTGTGTGTGGAGCCTCTCCTACAACTAAATAGGGTCACTGGTTACCAACTGACTCCCAAGCCCAATTTAAGGTATTTTCAATGATATATAAAACCACTATACAGTATAGGGCCAATGAACTTATAAGGCTACTCCATAAGAGAGTAATAACATGCCCTGCACTCCTAGATCATCAATGCTTAATTAGGCCTTTTCTGTGCTGTGAAACAAACCACCCAAGACTGTTCATATTTTAGTTTTTAATGCTGTGTTTTACTGGTTTGTTTTTAGTATTTCATCTTTCTTATTATTAATGGGATTCTAATGCTTTTATTGTCTTTTTATAAGCTGCCCACAGTGAGTGAGTGTTTGTTTAAAACATTTATATGGCCAACCAATCAACCAAGATTATTCTGGGTGACTTACAAACAATTCAGTAAAACCTAATGAAAAGAATACAAAGCAAAAACAAAACAAAAAGACAATTAAATGGCAATCCAAATAGAAGTAACACCATTATCCAACTGGGGCTCTAACGCATCACAACCCAAATGCCTTTCTAAAGGCCAGCAGGGTTGAGCATTACATTAAGTCAGAAAAGGCCGCCACTGGAAGGTGTGCATCCTCGATCCTGCAAGATGGCATTGTTTTAATGAAGGTACCCAGTGTAGGCTCTCCCTGTCAGAGTGTGTGAGGTGGGCAGATATACTGGGGGATAAGACAGTCCCCAAAATAACCTGGTTCTATGCCATGTGATAATCAGCACTATGAATTGCACGCAGAAGCCAGTTGGGAGCCAATATACCTTGCAGAGTATTGGTGTCAATACATAGTGAGAAGGATCCAGGAGTTTCCTGCACCACTGCATTCTGCACCAGTTATAGCTTCCAGATGGTGTTCAAGGGTAGCTCCATGAATAGCACATTGAAATAATTCAAACAGGAGGTGACTAAGGCATGAGTGAATGGCACACAAGACAAAGTTGTACAAAGGCCCCTGGTCACAACTGCCGTCTACTCCTCAGGCAGGAGCTGTGAGTCCAGGAGGATCCCCAAATTGCAGACTGAGTCCAAGCAGGGCAATGAAACCCTACTCGGAGTTAAGGATGGAAACTCTCCAGCTCCAGGACCTACTGCCGTTCAGTCTTGGCAGGGTTAAGCTGAAGCCTGTTCTTCCTCATCCCGGCCACTGAGCCTCCAGGCACTGGGGCAGAACCTTAATAGCTTCACTAGGGAAGGTGGACAGAGATATACAATGATCATCAGCATACTGATGATAATACACTCCATGCTAACCTATGACCTCTCTCAGTGGCTTCATGTACATGTTAAAGAGGAGGGAGAGGGTAGAACTCTGAAGCAACCCACAAAGCAGGGGTCTGACCCCCTAACCGGGCCCAGAAGGATATTGTGGTCCATGGTATCAAAGGCATTACCCTCATTATGGGGGTGATAACATAGAAATGTTCTAAAAAAATAGCTGAATGGAATAGAAATGTAAATCCAGCATCTCCCATGATTTTAAGAAACAGATACTTTTCCATAACTTGCTATTCTTAAGGACAGAGTACCACCTTTGTTTAACAACTGGCCACTCATTTACCAGTTAAAGGCAACCTCAGAACAAAGCCCATTCCTGCCAGAAAATATTTATTTATTCATCAAATTTGTCACCGCCCATCTCGTGAAATGACTTTGGGCACTTAATAGCTTCATATTGCGTGTTTCCATGAGAAATAGAGAATTCCTAATATCCTTTTTGACCTATCACAGTCCTTGAAGCTGATGAGATGCCCACAAGATTAGAAAAGAGATGAAAGCAAGGATGACATGGCAAGTTATACGGAAGCACACCTTTTGTGTATTTCATTTAAGCTCAGCTGCTTACTTTCCCCTTTGGCCAGTGTGACATTCAGAGAATTGCTGTAAAGACCCAAACGTGGTGCAATATGTATTGACAGCATTATCAGCTCTGGAAGGATGAAGGTTGTCTAAAATATATTCCTGTATATTTTCTCTGTTAATTCTGTTATTTGATACTATTGTAGCCCTAAGAAGGAAAGCCTCTTTTCATTTCACCTGTTTTATTCATAACCATCTTGGGGTTAGAAAAGGACAGTGGATCTCCTGTTTTCTTCCTTCTTGTTCCTCTACTCTTGAATTTCCCCCCCTGTTTTTCCATTGTTATTGTAATACATGTCAGCATTATAAGATTTTTCCCTCACCACTGAAGAGATTAAGATGGAGCCCAGCTAAGATTGACCTTTACCTAACCACAGGTGTACGTGGTTTAAAATTCTTCCTGTTCACACTCAAGACTTCTGTTAAATGCCTAGATCTCAACAGGTACTGTGAATCATTGTGTCTAGAACTCTTCTTAATCGTACTTAATAGCTTAACCTCTGGGCCATTAAATCTCATCAGGATATTCCCTCTGCCATTGTTTCTAGGGTTTACTCTCCTTTGTATTGCCCTATTAGTTTAAAGTTTACCTACAAACAAGAAATGTAGAAAAACTTGTATCCATATGCTATAAGAGGGGTGTAGCTAAACAGACAGGTGCCTGTGCGTTGCTTCCACCAATTCTGGAATTTAAAATAATGTTTTTTTGCCTTTTGCCCCATCTACACATTTCCTTAACAGCAGTTCCTTCCTTCCTTCCTTCCTTCCTTCCTTCCTTCCTTCCTTCCTTCCTTCCTTCCTTCCATTTAATTTCTACACTGCCCAACTCCAAAATGACTCTAGGTGGCTCACAAGATAAATAAAACAAGATAAAAATACAATCAGGTAAATAAAAATACAATTAAGGAAATTACAACCAACCCTAAAACATATGCAATAGATGTCAAGCACATCTAACAAAGAATTCCATCCTCCCTACCCCCGGCCTTTATATATTTGCTTCTGGGAGTTTTTTTGTTTGTTTGTTTAAATAAAAAACATTAATAATTAAGTAATTGTATATTACAAATCAGTATGGCAGAAGTAGTTTGCAATGGGGTTTAAGAGAAAGCTCCAAACTACTCCTAGGCTTACCAGGAACTACAGCACCCAACAACTTCAACAAGCCTGGGCAATAGTACAGTAGTTAGTGGATTACAAATTCCTTACTCCCATAGAGATTAAGGTCACATACTTCGTGTGTGGTTTTAGGATTTAAAATATGCAAATAATGTAGCTTAGGATGTTTTATATATTTAATTCCAGATCTCCTATCAGGTATGTAGCATTATTCTCCATATTTTATAAGAAAGTAAAGAATACAAGTGTTAGCTGAAATTTCCTTCTGCATTCATTCTTTCTGATTTCTGATGCTATATGTTTTGGGGTCAACAGCCATCAATTCATCAAAATGGGCTGCTGGTAAAGATATACCAGTTCCTTCCAAAAACATAGGATACAGCCTAAATATCTAAACCAGAGCCCAGTAAAACCAGGTCTATTTTGTCTGGTGAGTCTCAAGACAAGTTGTACTTCTAGAACATAGAAATGATGTTGCATGAGACAACCATAATGTTGCTCCTGCAGTGGTGCAATCAGACAATGGAATTGTAATTGCATCCTTGGTTATGTATAACAAAGGCAGTTCAGATTGTTGTAGAGCACAAACTGTGGTCTGTGAGCATCAAATGCATGTTACACATCAGATGAATGCAATTACTGAGCTGAATAACTAGATGCTGATTGATGTATATCAATAGCTCTGATATTACCAGCATTTCCTGCATAATGGACTGAGATTTCTAGCTGGCTGAATATTCTGGAATCTAATACAGGTAGTCCTCACTTAACAACCATTTATTTAGTGACTGTTTGAAGTTACAACAGTGCTGAACAAAGGGACTTATAACCAGTCCTCACACTTACAACCGTCGCTACTCCCCTGCAGTCATGTGATTGTGATCCGAGCGCTTGGCAACCAGCTTGCACTTACCATGGTTGCAGCATCCCAGGGTCACATGATCACTATTTGCAACTTTCCCAGCAAGCAAAGTCAATGGGGAACCGTGTGATTTGCTTAATGACCGTATGATTTGCTTAACAGCCACGGTGATTTGCTTAATGACTGCTGCTAAAAAGGTTGTAAAATCAGGCGCGACTTGCTTAACAACTGCCCCACTTAACCACAATTTTTCCAGTCCCTATTGTGGTCATTAAATGAGGACTGCCTGTACAATTTTTGGATGACTGAATATCTAAGTGTCTTGTGAGATTCACAAGTGATTAAACACCCTCAGATCTCAGTTATATGTCAGTTAGATTCATCACAAAGTCTACTTTCCAACTGTAAAAGGAACAGTCAGAGATTATAATAATAAGTATATACAAGCGATGAGACTTGTTAGACCAAAGAGAATTAAAAGTAATGAGAAGGTATTAGTATTAGCCACAGATAGGCAGGGTCCAAGCATACCCTATGGGGCCTGCAGTAAAAATATATAAATAAAATTGAGTTTCAAAATACATGGAAATTAGTTTCATATTTATTTCCTTCTTATGCAAAATTGGTTATGTCAATGTACAACACTTTTTTCCCAAGTAGGGAGAGTGCTGTTTCAGATCTGATTTCTGAATTAAGCTGCAGGAGGTTATATGTACAGGCAAAAAGGATATCATTGGAATGGACATACATGGAAATTATTAGGATAATGATGGTATCAGAAGCCATTTCCTTGTTCTTTTTGCCTTTAAAGGGTCATTCATAGCATGTACTTCCTTAAGTATGATGCATAGTAATACCTAGTTTCAATAATCATCAACAAGGTTAAACTGGCAGCTTCACAAACATACATTTAACTTTACAGTTGAAATGGAAACAAGACCACTTACTTTTTTTCTTTTAGTTTTTCTTCATTGTATCTCAGCAGAAACTTTCTTCCTCATTTTCAGCCATTCCACTTTCCTGAAGGGAGCACATCATTGCTAAAACTGCAACCCCCAGCTAAGCAAATTGAATATAATCTCCAGTGGCCTGAATGTGCATAGGTGTGGGTGGGTAAAACAGAAACTAAACCGGAAATTCTTCTTTTCCCAGCTAAGAAAACTGGATTGATTGGTTAGCCCCACCTGATTTGTTAATCTGTTTATCTTTATAGGAAAAGAAAACAATTGTGGACACTCCCAGGAGATACTAATTTTATCAAACCGTTAAGAGCATTCTGCTTATTCGTCTCTCTTTTTTATTTGCTTTCTTTTTCTCTCTTTTTTCCCCCTTTTTTCTGCCCTTTTTCTTTTTTCATTTTAGTTTTACTGTTTAGTTTTTGTTTCGCATGAAGGTTGTTTTGAATAGTGTAGACTGACTTTTGTAAGCACTGCGTTCCGTTGTTATATTTGGTCCTGTTCAAATAACGTTGCTTAGGATATTTTATAAGATATATTTAATTCCAGATCTCCTGTCAGGTATATATAATACAAATGATAATTTTAAAAATCAGCAGCTCTGGGAAAAGGCTAACAAATAATCGCCACTGGATATCTGCCTTCATCCATCTCTTTGTTTCCACAGGAAAATACCAGCTGTAGAGGCAAAACTGCTGCCAGATACTATTTGGTTATACATATGTCTCCCTAATTGTAAACTAAGTAATTATGAGATTTCAGAATCCTTTTTCAATGTATTCGTAAAATGTAATTACATCAGGAATTACAGCTACTTATGCCTAGCAGGATAGGAAAGAATGCCCCTAAGTCTGAGGTTCTGTATATCCTGTTGCATGGTTCTGTGTTCTCAAAGGCCTGTCCCCAGTTGCACTTTATAGCAGCAGCCTCCTGCTACTTCAGAGTTTTGCCACCTCAGATGAGGGCCTTCTTGGACCAGGAAAGAAGCCCGCTTGGAATCAATTTGTTGTGGGGTCTTTATGGTGGCTGGGCGGTGCTGCCAATCCTGCAGAATTTCCTCCTCCAATCAGTCTGGTTGGCTTCTTCTTTGCCACACTTTAAGAAAAATCTTGACATGTATGCTCATTCTCTAGTCTTCACTCCGTGAGCGGTCACACTTAATTCAATGCTAGATTTAGTTTTAATTTATACCATGACTAACTATCTCTCTCTCTCTCTCTCTCTCCCTCCCTCCCTACCTACCTATCTATCTATCATGATACTTATTCATGATTTCTGATGTTACCATTTGAATTTGGACTATTTTCTGTTTTTAGAATTATAGAGTTGGAAGGAGCCAATGAAGCCTTCAGAATAAGAGACCTGGCTATCAGCAGCGAGCAGAGGGTCAGTTTCAGTAATCCCACTTTACAATGCCTAGCTTGCTGCATAATCAGGGCAGGGTCTGCCTCCTCTCTTTGGGGCTATTTCTAGTGTGGAGAAAAAAATAGACAAGCCAACCTAGAGCAGCCCAGGCAGAGTCTCAAAGTCAGGCCTACTAGGTCTGAGAAAAACTATTCCTTTCAGCGCCCTGGCTTTCAGAACATACAAAGGAAATAGCGCTCATCTTTTGCTGCTGTTCTGCAAAAACTGATAATAGCTTCTGCTCCTGCAGGCAGGAGACAGCCAGCCAGCATGATTTCACTAATGCCCTTCTAAGGCAACCTATACCACCCACCATTATCACAACATGTGGTTGCAAATTCTATTATCCACCATGAATTCTTTATAGCAGTTTTTTCCTCTAAATGTGAATAAACAAATTCCTGGGGAACTATCCTCTTGAAATGCTTCTTTAATTTGGACACTGCATAAATTAATATTAGTTTAATCAGCCTAGGTTTCTAAATGGTGTTTGTTCATGTTGTCGTACTCAGGAGATGATGCTGTGTAATGTAAAAGCTCTTTCTATGGTATTTTACTTTATCTAGGATGAATGAAGTATGCAAGTCATCATCTGACATTGCATTCACTGAACACTGAACAATCATGTAGATACTCAACTATATCACATATCCACCTCAAATCAATAAACAGGGGTTCTTTATTCTTCAGATTTGCTGTGTAAATCATTCCATTCTTCTTTTTTTATGCACATAGTTCAGGAACAGAATGTGACCAAAAACACCCCCTAGATTTAATCATTAACTCCTAAACATAACAATCTTTGCATAAAGCCTGCCCTCTAACTCTTGACGGGCAAAATTCAAAATACAACAGAAAAAAAGGCGTTTTCAGAAAAGCAAGATGCAGTTCATTTACTTTAACAATGGTGTACTGTAGGCAAGACAAGACAACTCCACAAATAGTTGTTTGGATTAATAGAAAAATAGCAAGAAATAGATCGAGTGTGAGATGCATACAAGTACAACTTCCCATTCAAAACAGGTCTGTTTAGGAACCCCAAGGAGTTAATGTATGATGAGCTAGGCTAACTTATGATCTGATTCAGTATGGCAACTTTAAGAACTACTATGATTGCATGTTAATGTGTACACATTTTTACTATCTTTGTGAAGTATTATAGAGACATAGTCAAACATAAATCATATGGATGAAATATGGTGTCCCCATTACATATGTCCTTAGATGATGAACCATATGGACTCTAAGCAAATACCAAGGTAGAACTGGAGTCAACATTGCTTTAGGTTCATCTGACTTTCTTAAATATATCTGGGGGGAGGTCCGTCTCATTATTCACGTCCCATCGCTTCAGCCATGTTTACATTAAAAAGTGTTCTCTCTTAGAATGAAAAATAACAAGTTGAAGGATGTCCTTCTAAGGGGATGATTTGACACTGTCTTGTTAAATGTAGACAGTATTGGTAGTGGAACACAGTAGGGTTACATAGCGTTTTTGATTTGATTGCAGAAAGGTGCTTCAGAGCACACAAGACTGTAAACATAGCAGTTGTCCACAGCTCCTTAAAACAGCTGTGTCATTTTCTGGAATGTTTGGCAGCCCTGGTATACAATATACTGTTTAAGCTCTAAAATAAAAGACCATGGGTCTCAAGCTTTCCTGAAGTCATCTCATTTTCTTGGAAACTATCATAGATCTGGATACAAGGTATTTCTATAAATGTATTTTCCTTTATCTATCTACTGCATCGATTGTCCAGATCTTACTAAAATTGTTGAAGACAATTAGATGCATCATTAGCAGCATTCTGAACAGTCAGGGTTGGCACAGATCTTTCCCTAGAAGACAGAGAAAATGTGCTCAGTACAGCTAAGCTTATATTATGAGGCCTCAACAAGAAGCAGCACCCTGTTGACCCAGTGGATGATTTTGGAAGAAAAGCCAGATCAGACCTGTTTAGTATTCTTCAGTACTCTTTAGGACCATCTGGGAATCCAAAAGCAGTTGGCTAGATTACAAAGTGGAAAAAAAAATCCTAGCAGAAGGTAATGATAATTCACTTTATTTATTTATGTGTTTATTTATTTATTTATATTTCAAATTTAGATACTGCCCATCTCACAAAAAGTGACTCTGGATTATGACTTCCATAACTCTGCCAAGAAGATTGCATGGATAAAATTAAATCATCAGCATTTGAGCTCAACTTGAAGACTTTTTTTTTTAATAGTTTGAGAAACAGGTAGATTTGTGCTTCCCTCTGTGGCATGTCCCGGGTTATGAATAAGCATGACAGAAAAGTAATTCAGGGGAAGAACCAAACATCACAATAATCAGGGACACTGATCCTACAAATAGTGGAAACCAGCACCACTTATAAGACTTACACGTGCCTTGTTCATATAAGAAAATACATGTACTTAGTTTGTACACACACCATACTTCTATGTCTAGCTATGACTTATAACGTGAACAAGGGAAATACATTAGAAGATGTGGGTCTTCTAGTTTTTCAAAACAGACAAGGCCAGGGCTACTCTAAGCAGGCTCCAAAATGTGGGTTAACCAATATATGGCAGCAAAGAGATACAGAAACTCTTTGTATTGGACATTTGGAATTGTGCAGCTCAGATACGGTAGCTTTAAGCAAATCTTTTCTGCAATCTGGCTCAGATTGGCCCACTGAAATTTTAAGATTTAAAAAAAAAAAAACTGTAACATACAGAGTAACTTACAACAATCCCTAATAAATGAGGTTAGAAGGGGAAGATGAGGTGAATGAAATACTTTTTTCCTCCCAATTTATTTATTTATTGACAGGACTTCTGTGGCCACCTATCTCATACAATGACTCCAGGCGGCTCACAATAATCCATAAAACATAGTTAAAAACAAAGATACCCTTCCCCACAGGCACCAGACCAAACATCCTCGTAGTTCAACCCTCCCATCCTAGCCCAGCGCTTGGGGGAAGAGCCAGGTCTTCACAGCCCTCCAAAAGGCTAACCTAGTAGATACCCTCAGGGACTGAACTGAAGATAAGGAAATTGGAAATAAGGAGTGTACGTGTAATATACAAACCCAAACTTCAACAGGCCATGCTAAGTGCCTTCTATGGATTGTCATTCGTCAGGTTCCATCATGTGACAGTTTAATTCACAGAAAAGATCAGGACACCTAAGGAAATTATTCAGAATGTCTAGTTTACAGATTCATTTTGAAAAATGAGAGTGGCACCCTAATTCCTACACTGCAGTTTATAAAGCAGATCTATGTGGGAACATATTATATCCATGTTGACATAATAAAGCAACCTGTAAAAATAAGAAGTTATGGTAACCCCATATGTCCTTCTTGCATACCTGAGTTGTTTTTCTTATTCATTCCACCCTGTGATGAAGAAGTAATAAATACCAAAGGAGCCATAAGCACTTCCACCTGAATCCCAACTGTATTAAAGCCTTGTCTGCAACTTAAAGGTATGTCATCTCTTCTAGAGCAGGTCTGCCCTGTTTCTGCTTGCAGTGAAGTCAGCGTGTAATGTTATTTCAGTTAAAAGGCCTTCAGGCTTGCCTTGGCCTTTCCCTTCCTTTTCTTTTTCCAGAAGCAGCAACAACAGATTAAACCAAACCACAGAGCAGCAGAGACATATCTGTGATCTACACTCATGGAACACCTTTTCAAAAAAACTAAAAAAGCATTCATTAACCACCAGTCTTTCCAGACAATTTATAATGCA